TAGAGATATATTTTTATCTTAAATATTAATTTTATTTTAAGCAGTGCAAAAAATTAATTATTTTGTTCTTCAAAAAACAGATGCAAAACGTTAAATTTGATATACAATTGTTTATTTTTATCTACGAAATTATTCCCGTGTACAAAATGAATATAAATAAATGTTAGGTGTGTTTATGTTTGTTACAGCTCTGTAATACAGTCTGCCATAATATCACATATCTACAATAATATATGATACCAGTAATTATAAATTAATACTAAATGCATACATGCATTTTTTCATCACCATCCTTTATGGATCTTCCTCTGCATCTTCAAATTGACCTGCTTCTACATCCATAGCGTCATCTGCTTCTGTGCCATTGTGATTGGACCCTATTTGTTCTTTTAATATAAAATTATGATAAACACAACATTAGATAAATACAATTTTCATTCATATTACATTTTGTTTAAATTACATTTTATGCCAATATTACATTAATTGAATACTACCTGATGGTAAAATGTAGGGAGCATCACCAGCGCCAACTTCATAATTTTCAAAATCATCTTCTTCTGCATCTTCATAAATGTCTTCTTCAGCTGCAAAATACATGCATATTATAAAAATTCTCATCGTGAAATTCCTATACAGAACTTTATAATAGTGGTATCATTTACCATCTGAAAAACTATCTTGTGGGTCGGGATGAAGCGCTTGACAGTTATTCATTGCTTGAAACATAGCATCTAAATTATTTGTATTATCAGGAGCAAAACGCATTTCTGTAATTGGTGTATCTGCATCTTCGTCCTCATTTTCTGAACCACTGTCAGAGGGAGGTGGCAAGGGTACGTCTATACAAAAAAGTTAGGAAATTATAATTATATCAATGATGATGGAACCTTCTAAACGATTATTCAAAATATCAGATATAAGGCTACAATATTAAATAATGTTTGATTTTCGCATTTAATTGAATTCTATTCAACTTTTATACTATTTGAAAATATTTATACAAAAATGTTAAAAAGAAGATTAATATACCTGGAAGGTCTACTTTTGCATTAACCATAATATATAAACATTGTCTTGGATGTCCTATTTGATCTCTTGATATGCCATGTAAAGATATATGAGGATATTCAAGTGAAAATCCTTGTTGTGTATCATAGTTCACCCAAGAAAACAAGCTACCAATGCGAACATTATATTAAAATACATCAGTACGACTATGAAATATAAATTTGTTTTAATTTAGCTTTTACCTTTCAGTAATATACAGTGTTCCTTTTCCTACTTCTGTGTCATTAATATACACAGTAGTATTTTGCTCTTCGTGGCGTATTCCCTCTTGCGGAGCAAGAAAATTGCTAAGTACAACCATCTTTACCTATAACATTTAATAAAATAGTTTACCATTTATGTATATTACTATGGACCTGTAAAGAGGCCTATAACACAAATTGAATTTCATGTATTTTACTTAATTTTTAAATCTGATAAATGAGGAAAAAAATAATTACAAGGTTATACAGAAGTTTTAACAAACAGAACACTGATTTTATTAGAAAAATGCACATATATTTCAAAAAATGTATAATAAAATATCTGATAGAACATATAGTTATATATTGTATTAGATCATTTGCAGAAAAACATAAAAATACTACAAAATAATGCTACATAAGAATATAACTACACAGTGCAAATGTAATTCTGTTAGTTCAGTTCTGTTAAAATTGAATACCTTCTGCTACATTAATTTGATCAGTTTTATTATTAATTCTTAATGTAAACTTACCGCTAGCTTTTACAATGTAATAGTAAGCAAGATCGAACGAACTTTCCCTAAAATGAATTTTTAAAAAATGAATAACTCAGTTTAAAAACTTCAGATGCACAATGCAAGTTTTATATCGTAGCACGTAAGTGTTAACAATAATACAGTAAGGTCACTAACGCTCAATAGCCACAAATGTCAATATATAAATTTTTCATTTTATAATATTTGTTAATACAAAATTTCACCGCACGTTACGGTGTTGTGTTTCTGTTTTGCGTTATTGATATAGAGTTCGGAAGAACTTCGCTATAGTGTGTGTCATGTTCCGCTACGACTAACTATAGGTGGTATACTATATACATACATACATACATATAAGTACATACCAGTTCTGTAAGTACAATATGATTATAAGGCGGGAGATTTTCTGTTACGGTTTTAACATTTACAATAGATGTGGTTTCAAATTCTTTAGAAAAATTCTAACTCTATCGAGCAAAGGAAAAGAGGTAGAA